TCTCTCTTTCCCTCTCTCCCTCCTTCCTTCCCTCTGTATATTGCTTGTTTTTCTCAGGAAGGAGCTGCAGGAGCTCCAGATTCTATACAAGCAGAACAGCGCACACACAGCTCAGCAAGCAGAACTCATCCAGCAGCTTCAGGTTCTCAACATGGACACCCAGAAAGTACTGAGAAATCAGGAGGACGTCCACACAGCTGAAAGTATCTCGTATCAAAAAGTATGCTTTTATTCTGTCATAAAAATGTACTTTTATACGATGACCTTATGAAAATACATAGAATTCAAAATTTTCAAATTTCAGCATTTCCTTATTCCATTTTATGTATGATTCCTCAGAATTAGAAATGAAGCGTGGTTCAGTTTGGTGATGTTTAAACTGTTGTGTCTTGTCTTTATGGCTCTTAGAGCTAAAACAGTTTTTTAAAATCTATGTGAGATCAGTTCTGTCCGATATTGTTTTTATAAGTTGGAAATTTGCAGTCTACTGTGAAGCTTACTAGGACTGTAGGCCCCAAATGGGAAAGGATTTTGATAGTGGAATTACTTAGGCTTTTATTATGAAAAAATATTTCATCAGTTATGATAACTAGTTTATGATCTGAGGGAGGTTTTCAATCTAGAATTTGTATATTATTTCATTGCGAAGTCTGCACAAACACAAATCAGTATGCTGATAGGGTCTTCAGGATCAATATCTTTCAAAGGTTTTTCTATGTGTTTCTTTTAAGTCATCATTTTACCTTACAGTTGTTTTAAGAGCCCCTGAAGAAGGTTTACATAGCTACTTTGGTGTGCCTACTGACTTGGCAGCTAGTTACAGCTAGTAATTAAAGAAGCAAAGAAAGCACCAGACTTGCTAAGGGGTTGATGTGTTTCATAGTATGGCGTTTTAGATGTTGACATTGTCCTTTTGTTCTTAAAACGAGGCTCCATTGCTAAAATGGTTTGGAAATTTCCACCTTATTAATTTTACTTATCTATTTGTATCAAATATTTTTCTCCTTTTTTTAATGTTTAAAAGTCTTCTAACCTTGGAGGTATGTATTTCAATCTGTCTTTTGATTTGCTCATTATTAAAGTTTATAAAGTTTTCTTCTCACTTGCTAATAGCTGATTTTCTGTTTCTCAGTTAACAAGGAAAATCATGGTAAGGAAGATTAAAAGGCAGTATTTTTTGGTTACTTAATTTTCAATTTATATTCTAAGATTGCTTCATATTTCTTGCTTTACAAAATAAATTCTATTCTAAGAACCTTATTGTTGGAAAGCATTTCATCTGATCATCAAATCTTTCAGCCTAGAACCTACATCTTGTTTGGTTCTCCTGAGCAGACTCTACAGGGAGCAACCATCGACTTTATATCCTACCCAGGAACTTCTATGCATTGTATCACTTCATATAACTGTATACTTAAACATGTTTATTAATCATGGTTTTATAAGAGTAATTCATGCTTTGGATAACACGTTAAACAATGCAGAGGTATAGGAAGCATAAACTAAAGGTCTCTATCCTTCTATCTGGAACCCGCTTCCCACAAGTCTTCACTATTAATGTTTAGGAACGCATCTTTCTAGAGTTTTTCTATGTATTTACCAAGAAACTTAAAAAACAAAACAAAAACCTTACTCTTTTTAGTTACACAGATACATTATTGTAAAAAATTGAAATCATATAGAAATTGTTGTTAAGTGCTGTGTGTCAGTTCTGACTCATAGTGACCCTATATAAAGTTTATAAGAAACAGCTTGTGAGTCTAAAATGCCGAGATCGTGGTTAGTATTCCAGTGCTTATCCTACAGCAATATACCAGGACTCTAATACCACTAGTAAAAATCTAAAATATTTGTACTCCCTTCTTCCCATTCCAGTTAATTTCATTCCTCTCCCCAGAGATAGTCATCTGAATAGTTCTTATAGATATTCTATACACACATAGGTTGTTGTTAAGTGCCATTGAGTTGTTTGCCACTCATGGTGACCCTGTATAGGGTTTCTGAGGAGCAGCTGGGAGAGTTGAACTGCCAACCTTGTGGTTCCCAGTTCAGTGTTGATCTTACAGCACCACACCATGAGTGCATACATGTGTGTTTCTATATATTATACATACATGTATGTAAGCTGTATGAGCTCTGATGGGGAGTCCTGGTGTGACACTGTAGTATAAGTTGTGGACAATATATATACTATATATCATAGAAACTACCAGTCACTCCGTGGGAGAAAGATGAGGCTTTCTACTCCCGTAAAGATTTACACCCTCAGAAACCCTGTACAGGGTCGCTATGGGTCGGAACCGACTTGACGGCACTTAACAACAACAACAACATCATAGATAAGGTCTAGAATATATATAATTTCTTTTAAATACATGTGTATATTATCTCAGCTTTTTAACTGTTTTAATCTAATTAATTTAAACTATATTGACTGACAAGTCTTTAAAGTGGCTTAAAAATAATATGTCTTGGCTATATTTTCATGCCAGTACACATAGCAATTGCTCATTCTTTTTTTTTTTTAAACAGGTATATAATATAATTATATGGATTTACCATAATACAATTTTATGATTATAAAGTTTTCCCCACCCCAAGTTTTTATTACAAACTTGCATCCATAAGGAAATGGTGTCATTGTCTTCTCCAGCATCACTTTTGCTAACTGGAATATGCTTTACCACACAGACATGCTGTAGGCTCCTTTTCTTTCCTGTCCCTCCCTTCTTCCCTCACTTTCCTTGATCTTTACCACCTCCATTCCTTTCCTTTTCCTTTGTTTCCTGCTGAAGTTCTTAAAAGTGTTGTCTTAACTCATTGTTTCATGTATTTTCCCATGCTCTTTTGAACCTACTTCAATGAAATTTCATTCCTTTTACTTCACTAAAATTACTCTTCTCAAGATCAGTTGTTGTTGCTAAGTGCCTTTGTGTCAGTTCTGAATCATAGTGAACCTGTATAGGGTTTCCAAGGAGCAGCTGGTGAGTTTGAACCACCAACCTTGTGGTTCAACTTGACCTTGTGGTCTAGTGCTATAACCCACAGCACCACTCCAAATCAAATGATCATATAACAGTACTCATCTTACCTGGCTTATCGACAACATTTCTTAGCAAATAGCTAGTCTTTTTGTTGAACTACCTTATATTTCCAACACCATTGTCTTGTTTTCTTCACTTTCTGGCTTTTGTTTTTCAGTCTTTTTGTCTGTCTCTTTTTTTTCTTTCTAGTGTCCTGTCTCCCTGCCATCTAAATATTGAAATATCCCAGTACTCAGTCCTAGGACCTTTTCTTTCTCTGTTTAAACTCATACCGTGAGTGATCCTAATGAATGTCCTTGGCTTGTGAAGGTCCACCACTGATATGCTGAAGATTCACAACTGAACTGATCTACATTAAGTCAGTTTCCTGGACTCTTAGACAGAGGATGTCTAATTGCCTACTTGACTTCTTTGCATTTGGATGGCTAATGGTCATCTCAATGTATAGGAAGCAAACCCATAAAAGTTGCCAGGGAGTCATTCGTGGACTCATGGTGACCCCATGTCATAGTCACCATGGCTGCTTTATTGGGAGACTGATTGCCACGCCTTTCTTTTGAGTTGCCTCTGGGTGGACTCCAACTGTCAACCTTTAGTTAGTAGCCTACTGCTTTAACCCTTTGCACTTCTCAGGTACTCCTCTCAAATATAACATACTCAAAACTAAGCACTTGTCTGATCTCCCTCTATGTATATCCAGAATTCAAATCTTCTCATTACCAGTAATTTTATAGTTCTATCCAAAGTCCTGTCATATATTGCCCGGATCATTCCTGTAAACTCCTGTGCTGCTTTGCCTTCTGCCCATGTTATTTGCTAAACCTTATTCAAATCATGCCACTCCTCTCTTCAAACCCTTCATTTGATGTCCCATCCCATTGAATCTAAATGCCGAAGTTCTTACTGCAGCCTATGAGATACTGAACAGTCTGAGTCTCCCTGACCTCTCTGTTCTGCTCTCCTTTTTGCCTTTTCATTCTTTCCACTTCAGCTACACTAGCCAGGTTTTTTTGTTCCTTGAATCTAAAAGTCTTTGCACTGGTTTCCACTGTCTGTTTGCTCTTCCTGCAGTTATATCTGCATGACTATCGGATAAGCACTGAACTGTAAGGTCGATGTGAATTACACGGTCGGTGGCTCAATCTCATCAGCTGCTCCTTGGAACGAGGGTTACTATAAGTTGGAACCGACTCAGTAACACTTAACAACAACATAGCAACATTCGCCCTTCCTTGATTCTTCACCTCTTGAGGCTTATAATCTAGTTCAGAACACATGTTAAGAAGTAAAAGTAAGTATGATATAAACTGGAGTAAAAATAGCAGGTGGTATAAGAATAAAGTTGGGGGGCCTATCTCAGGCTATGAGATAAGTAAAAGTCTCCTTGATGAAGAATTATCAGTGAAGTTTAGAAGACATCAAAAAGACAAATTAATGCCTCATAACTCTTCTAAATGAATTACAGCTCAAGCCATAAATTCCCTAGTCATTGCCTTTACTTAACTTGGAAGGTAGAGTTTTTATCTACTTGTTTGGAGAACTTGTCTAACCAAAACTTTGATCTGGTACTTTTTTTTTTTTTTTTAAATGTTTTATTGTTTACATGGGAGAACATTAGTTTTACATTCGTTCTATCGTATATCATGTTATTGCCACTTGTGCTCTTCTCCCTTGATGGTACTAGGGTTCTCTGTTTTCGGACTGTAAGATTAACTCATCCCCCGTTTTTTGGGTTTTTTTGTTTTGTTTTTTACAAACCTTCTGTCTTAACAATTGTGACAGTTGCAATTAGTCATGATTAACAGTTACGCACTGTTGAATCATTAGGGTCTTATCCCCATCTCTTTTTACCAGACCCATCTAGACAAGATGAAACCTATTCAGTGGGGACTTTATCTCCCCCCTTCACACACTCTTAAACTAAACTCACTCTTGGAAACTTGTAAGCCAGTCACTTCGTGCGTTTATTAGAAATCAAATTGACTACATCTGCAGAAAGAGATGATGGAGAAGCTTCATATTATCAGTGAAAACAAGGCCAGGGGCAGACTGTGGAACAGACCATCAATTACTCATATGCAAATATAAACTGAAGCTCTGAAGAAAATGAAAACTAGTCCATGAGAGCCAAAATATGACCTTGAATATATCCCACCTGAATTTAGAAATCATTTGA